ACTGACAGCCCAGCCCCGCTCCCACGCCCCGGCAGAGGAAGGGGAGTTCCATCCACCTTCTCCACGCAGCCCCGGCCTGGGAAGCAGAGCTTGCTGTTCCCACAGATGTGTCAGCAGTGCCGAGACCTGAGCTGGGTCAGCAGCCTGAGCACCCACCCTGCCACTCCCGAGCTGCTGCCAGCCCGGCTCGCCCTGGCAAGGGCACAGTCAGTGTGATGTGCAGTGACCAGCTGGCCTGCGTGTGCTGGGGGCTGTGCAGGGCAGTGAGGACTTGGCTGTGAACAGGAGATGTGCAGCACGCCACAGCCTGCCCGGGGGCTGTCCTGGGCCAGCCAGATGCTGCTGTTTGCTCGGCAGGGAGAGGAAAGCCCTGCTCACACCAGCCACACGCCACGGCTGCCTCGCATCCCTGCACTGGGGCACCGCAGCCTGCAGCAGGCTGGGGCTCCAGGGCGTGCTGCAGCCAGGCAGGAGGTGCTGCTCGGTGCTGCAAGGACAAGGAGACAAGGTCCTGCTTGGGGACACCTGGTTCAAGGCCACCTCTAATTAGCATCGCTGTCTTCTCCGTGCCTGGACCAGCACAGGGTAAGGGAGCTCAGCTCGGGGATGCCCCCAGGGATGTGGCTGCTCCAGGTGAGGAGAAATGAGCGTGCAGCTTGGAGGCAGCTGCAGGGAGCTGTGAGCAGGCACTGCGCTGTGCTGCAGGACGAGGAGGCAGCTGTGGCCCTGTCTCGGGGGGTTACTGGCTCCTCTGTGTGGCTGTCACCCCAGCACGCTGCTGCAGGCAGCCCCCGAGGAATGCAGGCGTTCCCCACGTCCCAAACTCTGCTGCCAGCCCGTGTTTATTCAGCAGGAAGGCTCCCAGGCACGGCCAGTCCCCAGCGCTCGCTGCCTGCCCAGCTGACCACAGACGTGAGAGCCCTTGTGCACAAAATATCCCGAGAATACTGCCTCTAATTAGAGGGTAGAGTTAAAAATACCCATAGTTCATAAAGAGAGGGAGGCAGACAGGGAAAAGGCACATGCCAGTGTGACTGACGCCCCGGGAGGGAGACGAGATTAGGAGCCACTCAGCCTCACACATACAAATGATTCAAAATAGATGAGCATATGCCTGAGCAATGAACTAGGGGGAAATGATGGGACTGGTGTAGGAGTGGGGTCATGGTCTGTGACACCAGGGAATCAACAGCTTGTCTAGACTCCAGCAGACAAAAAAAGAGATGCTGTCTTCAGCTAGGAGTGAGAGGCACTGTAGCACGAGGCTGTCCGTAAAAAGCTGCCCGAGCAGCAGCAGTGGTGTGAAAGAGGGATGGACACAGGCCAGACACCTGCATCTGTTCCCAGAGCTGCTGAGAATGATCTGGGGTAAATGGCTCCTGAGAGCAGGAGTGATGTGCACAAACACATACCTGCAGAGCCTAAACTGACCCTAGAAACCCTCCAGGACAAGGCAGGACTTTGCTTCCAAACATCCTACCCAGTCACACTGAGAGGTCCTGTCCCAGCAAGGGGAACCAGGCCTGTTCAGCCAAGGGTGGGATCCAGCTCCTGCTCAGCCCAGCGCAGCTCCAGGGAGACTTTTCCTCTCTAGTGGCCATTCCGTCACCAGTTACGCACATCACCTGTGACCTTCCATCTGTCACATGCAAAGGTTGCTCTACAGACACTTCAGATCATCCAACAAAATCACATCTGCTGGTATTTTCCCTCAAACGCGGTGGCCCAGAACCCTCCTTGTTTGTGTAAAGTTTTTTCTTTAACAGAACATATTCCCCCCAGTGCTGCTGCTCCCACCTGGACAGCACAACCTGCTCCCAGCCCTGAGAGCAGCCAAACCCCCTCTCTCTGGTGGAGCTGTCTGCCAGGACCTCCCTCTTCCCAGGCCAGCAGTGGCCTGCCACAATCACAACATCGAAGTTAAAGAGGTCTGGAGCAAACCTGCAGGCTGGGAAGGGTCCAGATGGACAGCCCTGAGGGCTCAGACAGGCGGCTCCTCTGCAGGCAAGGTATGGCACAGCTCGCTGGCAGAGTCCTGGGAGCCCAGTGCCTCGGATAATCACATTCCTTCCTGCCTGCCATGTGGACTGCTATTGAAAAGCCATCGTGACAGGCACAGCCTGTTATTACAGGTTTGAGCAGCTTCTTCCCAGCAGGGCTTGAAACTCAGTTTTGGCCTCCAGGCACTGCAAGCATCAAAAGGATCCCTTTTCTCTGAGTCGCCTTCAGATCCCAAACACCTGATGTACAACACGCTCCATACAACCTTCAGAAATCCCTAAGGGTTTCTTTTCTCCCAGTTTAGTCCTTGGTCAACCTCCTTCTGTTCTTACAAGTGCCAGGAGTGAGGCTCCACTGCCTAATCCCACGTTTTGTTCTCCATCACTCCCCACAGAGGTTGTCCTGGAGCTTGGGAAGGCTCCCTGGCAGGGCCTGTGCTCCCTTCCTATCATCCTGCAAATTCCTCTTCTTGTTTGGAGCACGGATTGGAAAGCTCTTCAGAGTACAAGGAAATCCTAGGAAGAGGTCCCTCCTCAATCCTGAATACATCCCTGTGCCACACAGGGCTGCCCTCAGCACAAATTTTATTCTAGTTCCTTGTTTCAACATTAAATAAGGGAAAGGGAGCTCCATCTGTGTGTGAAAATCAATGTTTTACACAGCAGTGCTTCGCCATCCCAGGTTGATGGGCGCTACAATTCCTGTATATTTACTGTGACTCCTTGATCTTGTTGAGTTTCATGTTTCAAAGGGCTCCTCAGAGGCGATGGCAGCTGAAAAGGCAGGACCTGGCTGCAATGAAACCACGGAAGCAGCACAAAGAGAAGAGCTGGCACCGGTTCTATCAGCTGAGACAAGCAATTGGCACATCCCTCCGGTGCAGGATGGATATCTGAGATGATGCCCGAGGTTTCTCACCCTGGTGTTATCCATGAAGGTGATATCTGCTCTGCCAGTTGACTCCAAACCTGGCCTCTGCCTGCTCTGATTATTCACAACCACACTCTCTAGGCTGAGCTACAGCAGCCAGGAGAGGGAAATCAAGGCTTAGGAGAGCTCCTCAGAGCAGATCCAGCTCCCCCTCAAGTGGTCCAGATGGCCTGGAGGAGCCAACACACCTCAGCACAGTCCTACTGTGGCTGTCCCAGCATGGCTCATCCCCAGTCAGAGCAGCACAGAATGGTTTGGGCTGGAAGGGGTCTCAAAAGTCATCCTGTTCCACCCCCTGCCCAGGCAGGGACACCTTCCACCAGACCAAGTTTCTCCAAGCACCATCCAAATGGAAATATTTTTCTTTTTTTTCTGCAGTCCAGCTAGAGACCTCCCATCCTTCTTCGTCTCTTCTGTCTCATCTCCTCTCTGCCCTGATCAAGCTGCTGCTGGAAGCTAAAGAGGATCCTGACACTTCAGTGATTGCACTTTATCGCTGATTATATTCGCTGTCATCACATTTTACTTCTGCTGTCAGAGCAGCCCAAACGGACTGTGCTAAAATGATTCCTTACTCGACAGGGACCCAGCCCAAAGATTGCCAGTCAGGTTTTAAGCCCTACAGCCTTATTAGGCGATTCCTTCCCCTTCATCCTCAGGGAAATGTCCCATCTGGCCATTAGAATTGATGAGACTCCCTGTATTAACTTCACCAGGCTCAGATCAGCCCTGTAAATCTACTCATTAGCATCTCGAGTTAGATCTGCTACGTTATCAGGCTAAATACATTTTTACATCCCTTAACTTCTGCCAGCTCTGCTGAGCTGGTTTACAGAGCAGAGGAGAGCTCTGGCTTTCATTCCAGCTGCTTGATCTTCAACAGCTTCTTAATTACATCCTCATCAGACTCTGCTGGCAGTGACGCAAGAGCCAGCATTAACACAGAACTCGCTCTGTCTGGGGCCACTGTCCCACGCTGATAATTTTTGTTGCTTTCTGTTAATCAAAGAAAAAGGTCCTGGGGAACTTTTGAGGACCACACAGCAGCTCGGGATGCTCTCTGTGCAAAGGCATTTTTCAGGGCAAAAATCACTAAATCAAACATTTGGCTGTGTCAGAAAGGATTTGGTCCAGCACGAGGGCTGGGGGAAGGTGTCTCTGCCCATGGGGATTTGAACTAAATGATCTTTAAGGTCCCTCCCAATCCAAACCAGTCTGTGATTTTATGGCTCAGGAAGTTCCTCAAGAGCAGCATTCTCTGCACAGCTGCTTGTTTGTTTCTTGCTTACTTTAAGTTGTTGAAAGTTTATAGTGAAATTCACAGATCAATGAGAGCTGGCTTTTTAGAGCAAATTCTCAGAGAAATATCTTTTTAGGGGTTCTTATTAAATACAAAGGGAAACACCTACTTTGGATCAAAACTTGGATGGGCTTCATAACCAAAATGTCGCTAATATCCTGGCTCAAAAGCATTAAAGTCGTCTCAGAGCCTTACTCGGGGTGAGTTTCCTTCTCTCCACAGAGCTCAGCCAGCGGTTGTGACCGGCCCCTCTCTGCACCACGGGGGGGATCATCCCTCTCGGGGTGCCACTGCCAGGATCTCCCTCTCTTCCCACCCACGGGGGTCCCCAAGAGAGGGATCACTCTTTCTCCCCGCCGGCTGGGGGTTCCACTAGCGGGACCGACCCTCTCCCCACTCGCCGGGGGTCTCACTGTTGGGCTCTCCATCTCCCCCGATCCGCCGGGGGTCCCATGGGAAGGAATAGCCCCTCTTCTCACTGTGTGGACATCCCAGTGCCAGGAACATCCCCTCTCCCCATTCACGGGGGTCCCAGTGTCAGGACCATTCCCTCTCCCCATTCACGGGGGTCCCACCGCCGGGACCATCCCCTGTCCCACGCGGCGGGCCGGGGGCTCGCCCTGCCCGGGGGTTCGGTGCGTGCCCCCTCCCCTCCCGTGCCGTGCCGGGCCCGCCCCCGGCCGGTGCCCCCGCGGAGCCGGGACCGGGCTCGGCGGCACCCCCGCCCCCGGGCCGGCGCCGCCCGGGCAGTGCGCAGGCTCGGCTCGGCTCCGCACACCCCATCATGGCGCTGCGGCGGCCGGAGGTGCTCCGGCTCCTGCTCCTGCCCCTGCTCGGTGAGTACCGGCCGGCAGCGCCCGCACCGCCCCGCAGCGCCCGCCGCCGGGCCCAGCACCCGGGGACCGCGATGCGCTGCCCCTGACCGAGCCCGGAGTCAGCGAGGGAGGAGGGATGCGCTGCTCCCGTCCCGATCCCGGACTCAGGGAGGGAGGAGGGATGCGCTGCCCCGGTTGCGATCCCAGGGAAAGGGAGAGATGCGCTGGCCGGTCGGGATCCTGGGGCAGGGAGGGAGGAGGGATGCGCTGCTCCCGTCCCCATCCTGGAGTGAGAGAAGGAGGAGGGATGCGCTGCCTCGGCTGGCGTCCCAGGAAAAGGGGGAGATGCGCTGTCCCCATCGCGATCCCGGGGAAGGGCAGGGATGCGCTGCTCCTGCCCCTGCCCCTGCCCCTGCCCCTGCCCCTGCCCCTGCCCCTGTCCCTGTCCCGGCAGGGATGCGCTGCCGCGACCCTCGCCCCGGGGAAGGGAGGGGAGGGATGCGCTGCCCCGAGCGCGGGGGATGCGGGGACAGCGCGGGAGCCGCCGGGATGGGGACAGGACAGCACACGGGGCCAGGCCGGGGCCGGCCGGCAGCAAGGACCCGCCGGATGCTGTAGGGAGTGTGGGACACGCACACACGCACGGAACAGGGGGAAACATCCCAAAACCCAGCTCAGCAAGGAGCGGGTCCAGGGCTGAGGGTGCCAGGAATGTGCAGGCTCGGCAGGCAGGCAGGGCGGACACTAGTGCCTATTCAGGACCACGCACAGGCGCCTATTGTTCGGGGGGCCCCGCATGAATGTTTGCAGTTTTAATTGCAAAAACATTTGCCAATTCCGCTCAGGAATGAATTTGGGCTCATTTGTTGTCTGGCTATTAATAGCTGGGGGGATGAGGAGGGGGACAGCAGCCGGTGGGCTCGCGTTGTCCTCCCCCCCTCTGCCCAGATGGCAGGAGGAGAAGATGGGATGGAGTGGGGTTAGCTGACAGCCAGCCTACAGCTGACTACTGAAATACAGGGGGCTGAGTGTGTACACACTCACCAGTCACTGTTTTGGGTCAACTCAAAGGCTGAAGTGAATGGAAATATTTCAAACAGTTTATTTAAGGACAAAAAACAATCCTCCAGTGACTCCCGAGAACTTGCAGAGTCGCTTTGGGTCTCAAATAAAGTGAGATTTGGGCACTATTTACCCAATCAGTCAGCAGAGGGGTGCGAAGATGACTCTGACACCCATCCCCAACAAGCAGAGGGTTGTCACGCGCTCCACGCTCTGCTGTTCACTTGCTTTGCTGTGGTTTGGAGCAGAAACAGCTTCAGTGGAGAAATCAGGAGTGCCTGATCCTGGAGCATCACACGGTCTGCCCGGTGCTACCTCTGGATTCAGCTGCTCCCTTTGAATGGGAAAAACCACAGACTTAACACCACTTTCCCTCTCAGTGGAGCTGCAGGATAGAAAGGTGCCCCATTTCCTTCCTGTGCTATGTGAGCAGAGCCCAAGTGTCCTGTTGAATCTGGCCTAAAAGATAGGAAGGATGGACTCCAGATATTTCTGTGTTTCTTCAGACAGACAATAGTTCTTAAGGCAGTCAAACCTCACTGGTTTCACACCTCTGCCTGAGAACATCTACCTGGTGAGTGAACCCAGTGGTACCAGGCTTTGCTTTCCATTAAATTCAAAGTCAAAGTGCCTCATCCTGTGTTGATTGAAGTTTAAATTTAGCCCAAAAGATTGGGCAGAGTGAGGTTGAGATTAAAAAGGTTTCTTCCACCATGCCTGACTTGAGGTTCTGGGGGCACCCCACTAAAATAGGGATATGCTGTCAGCAGTACATAAAATTAGACATGAACTGAAGCCTGCAGGGCTGCTGCTGGATAGTGGGATGGGAGTGTGACTGGAGGGATGTGTTTGTGCCAACTGATTACTTGAGGGAGGGGAAAAAAAAAAAAAGGCATGAAAAGAAAGAGACAAAGCTCACAGGGTGCTGAGACCCCAAATCTGACCTGTTCTAGACTCTGAGGTGCTGCTTTGACTCCCAAGTGCTGCGAGCTGGGGATGTCTCCTCCTGTGTGTTACTGCCAGAACAACCCCTGTTCTTGATCCTGGCCTTAAAACATTGCCATGGAACGGGAGCCAGTGAAGCATGGAGCATTCAGTGCATTCCCAGCTCTGGGCACTGAAAGCCTCTAAAGATTCTGCACATCAGGGAAATGCCATGGTCATAATTAAAGCAGTGGAAGCTCTCGGCAGCACTGATGGGGAGTGGGGCTTACGACTGACATCAGTTCTGCCTCCAGGTCTCTCCTTGCCAGCTTCCCCGTGGAAACAAATATTTGGATTTTAGAGGATTTCACATGCTGGGCTGAGGGCAGAGCTGTGGAGACCCTCCCAAAACTCTCAAGTATTTCCTGATGAAAATAGAACAGGCTGATGTAGTCCTTGATGGGGGATACGGGCAAGTCCCAGGCACATTTCAGTTTTAAAGCTCATTATATTCAAATCTCCTTTTGATTTAATTCTGAGGGCTTGGTAATAGGTTGGATTTCGCAAAAGGCTTTTTAAAATCTGTGGAGTAGAAGTTCTCATTTCCTTTTTTTTTTTTTTTTTTTAATATATGAAGTCCATCTGTCCCAGCCACCAACAACTGTTCTGAGTCAGCTGTCAGTGCCAAAAACCACTCAGTGGAAATGTTGTTAGCTCTCTTGCAGTGGTGATAAGTTGCTTGTTGGTATTTTCTGATGGGAAGTATTTGCAGTATCGCTTTCTTTTCAACAGGCAGTAAAAAACCGGGACAAACAGCTTTGAGAGCCCTGCCAAAATCAGACACTTAATAACATCTTCAAAAAATTCCTAGGAAGGGCTTGGTGTTCCTTTTTGGGCAAGTGGGGTCTGGCATCGCCACCAGAGATTGGTTGGATGCACATCTCCTTTACAGCTGTTGACAAAGAACGTGACAGCAGCACATTCCCTCTTTCCCTGAATGCTTCCGAGAATTTCTTGGTTGCTGAAACACGAGGAGATTCAAAGAGTAAAATGTGTTTGCTTTAGTCTGTGGACTGAGATGTTGCTCTGCTTTGTGAGCTTGGGTTCTTTCAGTGTTTATTTTCCTTGTACAAGTTGAATTCTGGGTCTCTTGGCCTGCTGCAGTTGTTTTTCAATTATCTGTCCACACACGGAGGATTTGCACCAGGGACACACTTGGAGCTGCCAAAAAATCACCTAAACAAGTAAATAAGGCGGAATGAGCCGCTGCCTTTAGCTCCACAAACAAGGACAAAAGCTGTGGGTGGCCTCCTGCCAGCTTGCCCCTAACTTTAGCCATCTCCAAAGGGCAAAGCAATGATCAGCCCCTACTCCCTCCTGCTTTCCTTGCAGCTTGCTTGGATTATTAGTTAAGTTTCTCTTGCAAATTGGGCTGGCTGCTTGCTCATCCTCTGCCATGAGTGTTTGTGTGTTGAAGCAGAACCGGCCTCCCAGCTGTATATTTAGAGCTAATGCTTCACACTTGATTGCATCAAGCCCTGATGATCCGGAGAAGGTTCGTGAACTCCCAGCCAGAAGTGGTGGGAGGGAGTTAGCGAAGGCAAAGATTTCCACAGGCCAACAGGATCCTGAGTCCTCAAGAGTCCTCATCTGCACAACAGGAGCTTGTGTTGCCAACATGCCCCTCAAGAAGATAAAAACACTGCTCTGTGCAAAAAAAAGCCGGTGGCCTGCTTGGAAACTGCTGTTTGTGTGAAAGGAGATGAGTTCCAGATATAAAATTAATTAGGATAATTACATTCTCAATCTGGCTTCTCTATCGACGGGAATTTGAGCTGCAGCGTCTTCTCCTGATTGATAAGGGCTGGTTGGCTTCCCTCAGAACCCTCAGGGAGTATCGTGTTCTTACGAGGCAGGATCAAAACCCAGCCAAACACTAAACATCACTTCTGTGCAGTGGAGGAGTTCAGGGCGTGTGCAACAAACCCCAGGCCCTGACTGAGTCAGGACGCGGCCTCAGAACCAGCTAATGGCTTTAATTGCAGTAATGAATGTTCTGGATGCGGCCTGAAATTTCCCCCAAAGGGCTTGGATTGCTGTTTGGGTGCAGTTCTGGCAATAGCTGGGCTTGGGGCAGAGGAAATACCTGCTGGGTCACAGCTCTCCAACTCCCTGCTGGAAATCACAGGTTTCACTTTCAGAAGAATAAATAATAACATAAAAACTGGACTTTTTTTTGGCTGGAAAGCTCAGGTCTTTGCTTGCTTGTGACCCCTTGAGAGCAGCAACAGGAATAACCTGAGGGGAGAGGTGTTGTTTGGAGAGATTCAGTTGTTTTTTTTGTGGAGGCTTACCAGAATAAATCTGTGGGGAACAGGACAGCGAGGAGTTCATGGAGTCCCACCAGAACACTGGTCTCAGGGATAATCAACTCATTTCAGAGCTCAGGCTGCTTCTTTGGGGGATAAACCTTGAAGGAGGTGTATTTTAAAGAGGTTTCCTGCTCAGGGACAGCCAGCTGAGGTCCTGCTATCCCTTTGATGGCCTTGTTGTCACTCTAAGGAAGCTTTGTGTGACTCCAGGGCAGGACTTCAGCTGTCCAGCACAGGGAGGGCAGCACCAAGACAGCTGCAAATGGAGCTGGAGTCCTGTTCTTCAGAGCAACATCCTCAGCCAGGCCTTCAAAGGTCTCAGAAAATACACAAAAAATGAGGCTTGGAGAGGGAGTTCCTCTGCAGTTCCTCAGTGCCTTGTCAAAGGTGCTTCTCTGCTGTGTTGGGGAGTGGAGGGAATTGCTTTAGGTGCATATTCCAAACCAGAAAACAGGCAGAGAAAAGAGCAGCAGAGGCAGGAGCAAAATTTATAAATGGGAGTTGACAAAAAAAACAAAACAAAACATCCCAAACCAAACAAACAAACAAAAAAAAAACCCCAAACCAACAAACAATAAAAACACCCCAAAACAACAAATACTTTGGAAATTTCTCCACCTTCTGAGAGTGCACTTGGGTCAGATTCCCACAAACTCACCTGTA